ATGATCTGTCCCTATTTTGATCTTTCAGTTTTTTCAACAGTGCACTCATAGTTACTGCTGCTGAATCCATCCACGTTGCTGTTGGTTGTTCTAATCGTCTTTTTTCTCCCACCTTTCCCAGCATTAGAGCCTTCTCCAGAGAGCTAGGTGTTTGCATAATGAGTCCAAAGTAGGATAATTTGAACCTGGTAAATTGCCCTTGAGTGTGAACTCTGTCTGATTTGTTTGACAATCCATTAGTTTGTTTTCTTGGCTGTCCATGGTATTCTCAGAAGCCTTCTCCAATACCAAAGTTCAAAAATATTAATACTCTTCTGTTTTGCTTCTTTAAAGTCCTAATTTATGCTTCCGGAGTGTTACAGGAATTGCACAATGCTGATCTTTTTGGTATAGACACATCATTGCACTTGAACTGCCATATTTTAATGGTATTCTATCAGTTCCTATAGCCTTCCAAACTGATAACCAAAGTGGTTATCTAATTTCGTCTTCTAGTCCTAGGTTCTTGTAAGTAAGGAATATCTAAGGTATCTTGGATGTTTACATCTTTCTTGTACAAAATTTCAATATAGTCCTTTCATTTTTGTTTGATCCTCCATCTTTTTGTTTGAGTTGTTGTTATTGTTGTTGTTAATTGCGAAGTCGTGTCCGACCCATCGCGACCCCATGGACAACGTTCCTCCAGGTCTTCCTGTCCTCTACCACCTTCTGGAGTCCATTTAAATTCACACCAATTGCTTCAGTGACTCCATCCATCCATCTCATTCTCTGTCGTCCCCTTCTTCTATTGCCCTCAATCTTTCCCAGCATTAGGCTCTTCTCCAGTGAATCCTTCCTTCTCATTAGGTGGCCAAAGTACTTGAGTTTCAACTTCAGGATCTGGCCTTCTAAAGAGCAGTCGGGGTTGATCTCTTCTAGGACTGACCGGTTTGAACGCCTTGCAGTCCAAGGGACTCGCAGGAGTCTTCTCCAGCACCATAGTTCAAAGGCCTCAATTCTTTGGCGCTCAGCCTTTCTTATGGTCCAACTTTCACAGCCATACATTGCAACTGGGAAAACCATGGCCTGGACTATACGCACTTTTGTTGGCAGGGTGATGTCTCTGCTTTTTAGAATGCTGTCTAGATTTGCCATAGCTTTCCTCCCCAGGAGCAAGCGTCTTTTAATTTCTTGGCTGCAGTCCCCATCTGAGGTGATCTTGGAGCCCAGAAAAATAAAATCTGTCACTACCTCCATTTCTTCCCCATCTATTTGCCAGGAATTGAGAGGGCCGGATGCCATGATTTTGGTTTTCTTAATGTTGAGTTTCAAGCCAACTTTTGCACTCTCCTTCTTCACCCGCATCAAGAGGCTCTTTAGTTCCTCTTCACTTTCTGCCATTAGAGTGGTATCATCTGCATATCTTAGGTTGTTGATATTTCTCCCGGCAATCTTAATTCTAACTTTTGATTCATCTAGCCCTGCCTTTCTCATGATGTGCTCTGCATATAAGTTAAATAGGCAGGGCAACAGTATACAGCCTTGCCGGACTCCTTTTCCAATTTTGAACCAATCAGTGGTTCCGTGTTCGGTTCTCACTGTTGCTTCTTGACCCGCATATAGGTTTCTCAAGAGACAAATGAGATGGTCTGGTACTCCCATCTCTTTAAGAACTTGCCACAATTTGTTGTGATCCACACAATCAAAGGCTTTTGCATAGTCAATGAAGCAGAAGTAGATGTTTTTCTGGAACTCCCTAGCTTTCTCCATGATCCAGCGTATGTTGGCAATTTGATCTCTAGTTCCTCTGCCTCTTCGAAATCCTGCCTGTACTTCTGGTAGTTCTCGATCCACATACTGCTGGAGTCTAGCTTGTAGGATTTTAAGCATAACTTTACTAGCATGTGAAATGAGTGCAATGGTGCGATAGTTTGAACATTCTTTGGCATTGCCTTTCTTTGGAATTGGAATGTAAACTGACCTTTTCCAATCCTGTGGCCACTGTTGAGTTTTCCAAATTTGCTGGCAAATTGAGTGTAGCACTTTTACTGCATCGTCTTTTAAGATTTTGAATAGCTCAGCTGGAATACTGTCACCTCCACTAGCTTTGTTGTTGCTCAGATTTTCTAAGGCCCATTTCACTTCACATTCTAGGATGTCTGGTTCGAGGTCAGTGACCATCTCATTGTGGTTATCTGGGATGTTAAGCTCATTCTTGTATAGTTCTTCTGTGTAGTTTTGCCATCTCTTCTTAATCTCTTCTGCCTCTGTTAGGTCTCTGCCATTTTGGTCCTTTATCATGCCCATCTTTGCATGAAACGTTCCCTTCATATCTCCAATTTTCTTGAAGAGATCTCTGGTCCTCCCTATTCTGTTGTTTTCTTCTATTTCTTTGCACTGTTCATTTAAGAAGGCATTCTTATCTCTTCTAGCTACTCTCTGGAATTCTGCATTCAATTGGGTGTATCTTTCTCTTTCTCCTTTGCCTTTCGCTTCCCTTCTTTCCTCAGCTATTTGCAAAGCTTCCTCAGACAGCCATTTTGCTTTCTTGCATTTCTTTTTCTTTGGGATGGTTTTAGTTGCTACCTCTTGTACAATGTTGCGAACTTCCATCCATAGTTCTTCAGGCACTCTGTCTATCAGATCCAGTTCCTTAAATCTATTTGTCACCTCTACTGTATATTCATCAGGAATATGATTTAGTTCATACCTGAGTGGCCTAGTGCTTTTCCCTACTTTTTTCAATTTAAGCCTAAATTTTGCAACGAGAAGCTCATGATCTGAGCCACAGTCAGCTCCTGGTCTTGTTTTTACTGACTGTATACAGCTTCTCCATCTTTGGCTGCAGAGCACATAGTCAATCTGATTTCTATGTTGACCGTCTGGTGATGTCCATGTGTAGAGCCGTCTCTTGGGTTGTTGGAAAAGAGTGTTTGTTATGACCATCGTATTCTCTTGACAAAATTCTATTAGCCTGTGCCCTGCTTCATTTTGTACTCCAAGGCCAAACTTGCCTGTTATTCCGGTTATCTTTTGGCTTCCTACCTTAGCATTCCAATCCCCCATGATGATAAGGACATCATTTTTTGGTGTTAATTCTATAAGGTGCTGTAGGGCTTCATAGAACCGGTCAATTTCATCCTCTTCAGCACCAGTGGTTGGGGCATAGATTTGGACTACTGTGATATTGAATGGTTTGCCTTGGATTCGAATTGAGATCATTCTGTCATTTTGGGGATTGTATCCCAGTATTGCTTTTCCTATTCTTTTATTGACTATGAAGGCTACTCCATTTCTTCTGAGGGATTCTTGCCCACAGTAGTATACCTGATGGTCATCTGAGTTAAATTCACCCATTCCTGTCCATTTTAGTTCGCTGATTCCTAAGATGTCGATGTTCAGTCTTGTCATCTCTTTTTTGACTACGTCTAGCTTGCCTTGATTCATGGATCTTACATTCCAGGTTCCTATGGAGAAAAAATCTTTACAGCATCGGACTTTCCTTTCACCACCAGATATATCCACAGCTGAGCGTCCTTTCGGCTTTGGCCCAGTCGCTTCATTCTTTCTGGCGCTACTAGTACTAGCCCTCTGCTCTTCCCCAGTAGCATATTGGACACCTTCCGACCTGAGGGGCTCATCTTCCAGCGTCATATCTTTTTTCCTTTTAGTACTGTCCATGGGGTTTTCATGGCAAAGATACTGGAGTGGTTTGCCATTTCCTTCTCCAGTGGATCACATTTTGTCAGAACTCTCTGCTATAACCTGTCCGTCTTGGGTGGCCCTGCACAGCATAGCTTATAGATTCATTGAGTTACGCAAGCCCCTTCGCCACGACAAGGCAGTAATCCATAATGTGGGCATAATGTGCCATTATACCCACATTAAATAAATGATAATAAAGGTTATCTACCTACCTATCTAGTCTACTGTGAGTGCACAACTGTGGACTCTCCATCTCTGTAGTTTCTTAACAGGCTGGACACCCACTACTTCATGATGCCTTAATTAGTTTTTCTGAACATGGCATAAGATTAGACTAAATGATCCTCATCGTTCCTTCTAACTCTGATTCTACAAAGAATAAAAACACAAGAAGCACATTAGCTGGCTTGTTCATCAGATCAGAAATCAAAATTGCTAGAAAATATCCTAGAATTCTTTAAGAAGCCTGACCATTGCTGAAAAGTTTGACAATGGAGTATACCAGTTCAGGTGCCAAAATAGGCAAGACTGGCTTAGAGTAAATATATCATGCCAGTGTATCTAGCCAATTCACTAGTATTAAAACCAAGCAAGAAAACAAAATAAAAGGGATCCTCAGCTGAGGCTAAATTTCCAACATGTAAATCAGCTTTCCCCAGCCTGTAATGGTGAGAATTATGATCCTCTATAAAACAAGGAGTCCTAGATAAATCCACTGTGAGCACCACAGGTAAATTGCAGCATGTAGGCCTCAATTTTGATATCTTTTTCAGTTGCTGCATATACTGACCCTTGTACTATAATCTGTTGGTTAAGCAGGCAATTGTTTTTTTAATGATGACTAAAAGCTATGTCTGGGCAAGATGACCCACCCCACATTCTAAGTCGGAAAAGCACATCTGGGGACAGGAACAGGACTGTTATTCTCTAAACCTTGCAAACTCCTGAATGGGAAACGGTGTAAATAATGTAGGCGCTTCCACATAAGGCTTCCAAACTTTGTACGAGGAATCAGAAATCCACGCGCGGTTTTCTGTTCATATTGTTTGCTCCCCCCCCCCAGCCCGCAGATGTGCACACTTGGCAACCATTTCCAGCAGGCTTCATTGCAAAACAAAATACACCCGCCGGAACTGCAGAGCAAGGAGCCTGCGTGGGCGCCGCCGGGCCGGGCTTTTTGCCTTTCAGGAGTTTCGTTCCAGCTCCCGTGCAGAGTTCGAGGTTGAAAGAGCTGCGAAAAACGGGCGGGTCCCCACAACTACAACCAATCTCCCCCCTCCACTTTTGGTAACTTGAGCCCGAGCCCTTCCGTCCTGCAGGGGGCGCGGGAGAAATGAAGCCCCGGAGCTGCCAAGGGCGAGAGAGGCAGCGCCTCTGTGCGGCTCTCCTGGCAAGAGTGCCAAGCACGTGGAGGAGGGGCTGGATGCGCAGGAGAGGCAGGCCTGGGCCCGAAGGGCGGAGCTGAGAGGGCGGGTGGCTCGCGGGCTGCCCGCTCGGATGGGAGCCCGAAAGGGGAAAATCCGTGCTTGGGGACAGAGAGAAAGGAGCTAGTTGGAGCTCCGGGCGGCTTTCCTTTGCTAGAATCCGGATCCGCCGGGTGGTGGGGGAGAGCAACGGCTGGACCGAGGAAGAGGATGGAGCCCGTAACCAAGTGGAATCCTAAGCAAGTTGTGGAGTGGACCAAGGGTAAGAAAATAGGACTCCGGCTGCTTCTCCGCGCTTGGATCTTTCTCCTGCGCAGCTGTTTCCTTAGGACGCTTCCAGCCCTCTTCTGCTTCTCTCCAAACTTTCTCTGCTAACCTCCCATCTTTGTTCCTTCTTTTCCCTGGGTCGCCCGATCTCTCCTGCCGCCGATTCCCTCGGTTCTGCCGAGGACGTATTCAACTCGTCTGCTCCGGAGGGATCGTGTCTGCAAATTGTTTGTCTCTCTTAACCTGAAAAAGGGCTTTGCAAAACCCGAGTTCCTTGGCTACGAGCAAAACACACGCGCGCGCACACATTCGCTACCCTGTCTAGTAGACGAACTCGCCTCCCGCGCGGGTAAACAAATGAGCCAGCGGGCCCCGAGCGCCTTATAAGCAGTTTGGGATGGAGCCGACCGCGAGAGTTCACGGCTTCCTAGCTTTTGATGTTCATGCAAAAAGCACACTCCGCCAAGCGTTGGCCGGAGTTAGTGAAGAACGCGTGTCCGTTGCACGTTGGGCGCTCTTGAAGGATAGTGGGGCATAGCGGTTCATTGAAGGCGAAGATCTAAATCTTCAGCGACCTCCTCTACCCGCCTATAAGCTCCCAGTTAGTGCTTGAAGCGAAGCAGGGTTAAAAAACGGCCAGGACCACAGAAGATGTGCGTCACTGGAGCCTGAGAAATGCCCGAGATTCCAGAGCTTCCCTTTTAAACGGATGTCCTGTTAGTAATTGAGGGTGTTTAAAGAAATAAATACGTTATCTTGCTTATTAGCTGTAAAATGTTGAGATGGTAGATTTTGCAGCTACCTCCTAGGTAAAATGCCAGTCTGAACGCAGCCCAATGTACTTCTGCCCAAACATGCAGTGCTCCAGAACATTTTCAACTTTAGGCGCCACTTGTTTCTAAGAGAAAAGTGAATGCTAAGGGTGCATTAGTTGGTTGGCAGCGTTCCCGAACCTTTATAAACACTCATTCTTCCTGCCCCCCCCCCAAATAATGCACCATCTGTCTGTTTAGATCAGGCTGGTGCTAGCTGGATGTGCTGAACCACACACCATTTTGATAATTTTGAGCCAGCTGTCAAGAGTAGCCTTACTGGATTGGAGGTAATGGGGGATGTATCAGTTTGGGGAAGACTGGCTAGGCAGCACAGCATAGGAGGTTAAGGATGAGTGCAATCCTGATATTGCAAAAATGCTTTTTTAAGGACTTCTGCTTTTTTGATAAGTAGTTTTCTTTGATCTGGTTCAGCTTCTTGGCTATTTGGTTCAGGATTTTTATCAACTATTTGGTACTGTTAAGACCTTGATTAATAATAAACAATCTTGAGTTGTGCTGTAGAGCGTTCCTGGTTTTCCCTCCACTATTTTCTAACTCCAATTCAGTATCCATGAATGTTGGATATTCAGCACAGTGAGAAAATTATTTTGTTTCCAGAACCTAAAAAAATAAATGAAAGATACATCTAGTGTAGTGACTGCAAATAAGGACTCTCAAAGGTCACTGGGTTAAAAGAGTGCTATAATTTTAATTATTCACTTGAAGTCATTATTTTGAAAACTTTGAAAGGAAAACAAAAGGATGTATATGCCAGTCAGAAACCATTATCTGTGTGTGGCTCTTTCTTTTTGTATTTTTGTTACATGATTTTACTCTCTTGGCTCATGGGCTTGGAGGTCACCAATAAAACATCTTTTGATTTGCCTCACTTTTATATTTTATTCAGGTTGAATTGAATGTTAATCCTTTTCTTTTCCCCTTTTGCACTTGTACACCGCTTATGCCTGGCCTATTAAAAGAGTACATATGATATTTCCATTTAAAATGTTCATTTAAAATGTCTTTCAGACATGTGAAAATATATGCAAATCACTCTGAATAGATAATGATCTGAAAACTTTCAAAATTTGTTTTTGTAAATGGAGTTTTGGGATATTTATCTCGCTCCTGTATCATTACAGGCTATGACAAGTGGTTAAAAATGGATGCTATGGCTCTGAAAACGCTTGTGCTTCTTTTGTGGCTTTATCCTTTGTCTCATATGTGAGAGGTCCCTTTTAGAGTTTCTTGGTCCTTCTGTGCTGTATCTTCCTTTTCCTGGAAAAAAAACCTCTTCAAAAGAGAAATTATGGAAGAGGCGAAGGAAGAAAGGGGGAAATAAGAGACAATTGGATGGAGAAACTTTCTCTCTATATAAAAGGGAAATTTCCCTGTTTTGGCATGCTGCTTTCAAAAGGGAATTGAATATTTCACAGCTGATCTTGTACCAGGCTAGACAACAATGCAGGCAGCTGCATCCCAACAGAAATCTGATTTTCTGAATTTGCATTAGTGTAACAGCTCCTACCATAGGAAAGGTACCATCACTCTGGATGGGTTACAGGTCAGTTAAGGAATAAGAGCTCAATATGTCCAAGGTTTGCTGGGTCTGCATGGTAACAAGTCCGTCAGCTACTTTTGATTCTTCATAGAAAAGTCATGTCAGAAGGACAGGCTAACATTTGCACTATATGACTATGACATAATTCACTTTAATTGTGTGGTATGGCCCATTTTGGCCTAGGACAGTGTTTCTCAACCTTGGCAACCCTGAAGATAATTCAGCCCCTAGAATTCCCCAGCTAACACGATGGTTAGGGAATTCTGGGAGTTGCAATCTGCACAACTTCAAATTGCCCAGGTTGAGAAACACTGGTCCAGTGGATTGCATGAACCAGTCTTTTGTGGATTATAAATAATGGCTGTGTGTAATATGTGAAAACAGTCTGTGGCTGGGTTGATGCAACAGTCTAAGCCCAAGTTGGCTGGTTTGTTTGCATCTTAGCAAACTACATGAATCAATATTTACGTTTCAGAGTGTTACATATACTAGTTAACTGCAGTTTATTTAGTGAATTGTAATCTATCTGGCCAAGCATCTTGTGTGAATTCAGCTGTTTTTATATGCACAGTTATTAATTAATATTCCAAAGTGAGAAATCTGTTTTTTTAAAAAAACAGCATTAACAGCAATGTTATTTCCTTACTTAAAAATTTGTAGCTGGGGTTCTGTCTCATGTTAAGTCACGATGGGTTTTAATCATAGTTTATTGAATGAACAATAGCAATGTTTCAGTTGTATTTTTAACAAGGATTTTTGGGACAATGGCTGGGTTCACCCTTTTGTAACAATAGTTCAGCCACATAGATGGCATCAGCGTTTTTCTGGGAAAATTTCCAGCCACTTAGAAAACATACAGTCACCAAAGCATACTTAGAGCCTTTTCAGGGTGGGAGTTCATTTGTAATCCTGAAAATAGTCCATCTGGATAACTCAGTCCACAGAAGGGAGGCTTCAGTCTTCTCTCTGCATTGTTAGTTAAATAAACTGCACAAAAGTAGTTTGTTTAACTACAAGGTCACAGCAGCTATAGCTTCATTTATCGCTTGTACAAACCAAAATGAATAAAACCCATCAAATTATATTATTAGCACAATGTGAACATAGACATTGAGAGGAAGAATTATTTTATACCGGTAGTTATAGCTACCTTTATATTTTAAGTATCTGACCAGCATTGTGTACTTGTGGTCCCACACAGTGTCAGTTAAAAGAAAACATTCTCCAATTTGTTTCATGGAGAAACAATGCAGTATATGCAAAACGCATTCAGAACAGATTTGAAATTATACATACCCATAAGTTATTGTTGTTTAGTGATTAGAAAATAATTTTGATTTTTTTTCTAGTCCACATTCTGCAAACCAGAGAACCTAATACAATATGCATGTTATAAGCATGAATTATGCAACTGTTACTGGTCCAGTTAGATAGTGATCTGTTTATACAAGAGCTGCATTCAATGGTTTATTTAAGTGTCACCATAACAAGATAAGGTATCTGTTCCGGTTACAAAATAATTCATCAACAGAAAGGACTCAAGCATTTCAATTGGAGCATTCTCAGTTTAAGTTTCACTGTAGTCATGAGCTTTAGTAAGTGACCTCTGGCTACTTTCTTTTTTACAGTCTTGCTGTTCCTCTTTGTTGTCTTTCTGCAAAATGGCAATATTTACCTTTCATATATTCCATTATGCCATGATCAAATGTCCACCCGCTACTCCAAAATAGGTCTCTATTATTCTAAATTGGGAAGTATTATGGGAGATGTACAGTTTGAAGGGCTTTAGATTCCTTTATTCTGAGCAATACTTAAAATAGATTTCTTAAGTCTCGTGCTGGGATATGAACCCACACCTCTCGTCACCACCAGCCAGCCTGGAGAGCATTCATTGTTGGCAGGATCATAATTTGTATACATAATGTACAATTTAAAAGAAAAAAGATTTGAAGAGAAATGGAATTTGAGAGTTAAGAAAATTTGAGAACTACAGTTTGTATAGTAATAGCAATAGCACTTAGATCAGCAGTTCTCAACCTGTGGGTCGCGACCTCATTTGGGGTCGAATGACCATTTCACGGGGGTTGCCAAAGTCCTGGAGTTTTTCCTCATAGAATTCCTATGAAACGCAGTCCGGCATTTTTTTTTTGTTTTTTTTCCCTTTTTCATGAGCTGTGCTACTCCCTCTTATTCTATTGGCTTTCGAATGCCAATAGAATAGACTGTCTTGAATAGAGTCTAATTCTATTGGCTTTCAAAAGCCAATAGGAATTGTCCAGGCTGTCTCTGCCCTGCTGAGCCCACCAAAAGTCCCAGTCGGCAAACGTTGCTGCAGGTTATCTGCAACTAAGGTGAGCTTTCTGGAAGTTTCCACCCTTCCCTGCTGAGCAACTAAATGTAAGTAAAAGAGGGCCAGGAGTGGGAGGGCTGCCCAGGAGCGCCTGGGCCTGTCTGCCGCTGCACCGAATGGGTGGTGGCCATGGTGAGGCTAGCAGGGCAGCGGCGGGCGCTGGGAGGGTAGCTGGCACGCATGGGGCCCGGCAGGTGACTTACCTCCCTTGGGCTGGGCCAGCTGGTGGCCCAGACAGTGGTCAGCCTGCACTATTGCTGCCGCTTGCC